AAAATGCTTTTATTTGTGTGCACATGGAGCTCTTTTGATGCATACTTGAACAAAATCAAAACTAAAGCTATAGAAAAAGCATTCAATTTAAGAGAAATCTAAACAAACAGAAAATTTAACTAGTGTTTTATACCTTTCAAAAGAAATTCTGGTCTTGTTGTATAAAATCTTCARTAACCAGTATAAAATATGCAGCTCAAGCATTTAAGCATATGAACAAAAAGACTGTGTGGCCTCCCTCATATSTATTTCTTGGATATTCTATCAGGTAATGGCACCTTCCTGTATACTGCTCTTATGCAAAAAGGGTCAAGATACCAAAGCCTCAAAAAGGGCTGTTTATTGAGTTTATACTTAGCTCATGTGACATTCCACAAGGTGCTGACTTCTGAACTTACTATAAAGATTAACCAGACGCAGTTATTCGCTTGAGAATTTCTATTTCTAAATTGCTTCCTTGCCCACTAACCTTCAATAATGTCTAATCATGCTTCAGTATAGGACAACACTGATACTTGCTTCTCTCAGGTCTTACCATTAAGCTGTCTTACAATGACTAATCATATTTTACAGACACAAAATCTTTATGAGAAATATGAGAAGAATAAAGCCAAATCGTGTCTGTGCAAAAATTAGCCATGTGGACTCAAGTCACTCAAGGCCCCTCAGGTGACCCTAATGACCATGGCATAGAAATAAAACAGAAACCTAAGAGTCACTCTCCTTTAAAAGTTCAATTAACACAGTACTGATGAAATCAAAGTTAACCTGGCAGGTGTTCTCACAACACTTTAGTTAGGACAAGTTCTMATATTTGGTTATTGCCAATCATTGGCTCCAATCCTTCCCACCCTCACCTACACCTTACAGGTGTGGTCTCTCAGAATTGCAAATGCCTTTAAGGATTTCTCACATCTAGAAGATGAACAAATGCTGCAGTTCAAGCCAAGGTGGAGAACTGAATACATGTATTTGCCCAAGTACAGCAGCACTGGGACCCACAGCAAACCGCACCCACAGAAGRGAGTTTGAAATCRGAACAGCTAACAAGTCTTCAGTAACTTGCTGTCCCACTGAGAGCTTGTGTCTCCTGACCTCAGCAGTTTTCCAAGATCACCTGTGGGTGAATACATTCATTACCCTCTGCAGATATCTCCTTTGGAATCTTGGACCAATTTTCTTATTCCCTTCCTAGGTGGAACTGGAGCAACAGGTCTATATGGATGGAAAGAGAATGACAAACAGGCCAATGAATGAAACAAACACACCCGAGCAGATGCCTTCCTTAAAAGCAGGCTTGAGATCTGTCACACACAAAACTTGTGTCCCAGAGGTTCACTGCAGCTGGGATCCTGAGTAAGTTAGGACACCGAGACTCAGACCCATTCCAACTCCTAACTCCTAACAGACATGGCAAACACTAATGGCAAACACTGAGCTGTAGCTCTCAAACAGAAAGTGAAGAAAAAGCAGCTTGAGCTTTGATTCACACAGAGCTTTCAGCTGCTCAGAGGGACTGCATCAGATTGGAACCATTTCAGTAAAACCGGCGCCAAYGGAGAAAATAGTCACAGACAGTAGTTCTGAAACACTGTTTTCCATTACACTGGATGACACTGTTTACTCTGATGGTGAGGAACTGTGGAGTGACAGAAAGTTCATGTGCTCCCACTCAGTCATTTCTGAGGCTCAAGCAGTGACTGCCAGCTACTGCAACAAGCAAGGTGATCTCAGGAGCCAGACTGCAGTGCTAAGCCCAGCTTTCAGTTTAAGACATCTAACCAAGTGTTTGTCTGYAGGCTTTAAACTCCCATTAGACTCAAGGCAGATGCCATCAAGACTTCTTGGAGAGGTGTTTAGACAACAGACTGTTTTCACCAGCACTTCAAGGAGAAAAGCCACAGTCAGGAAGTTGTCAGWCACCTGATCTGGAAACAGGCAAAGTAGAGGAAATTTGCAAACAACCTGTTAATTAGTTACTAGGCCAACCCTAAGGAATATTAATCCCTACATTTCTGAATAATATGATCTCTCTTCTCTTCCCAATGGCATGCTCCTGTAGAAGATGGTTATAAAATGTACTTCAACAAATAAACAAACAACCCCTCCCAAAACCCCAGCAAACACAAACCATCAACACTCTCCAAACCAAAACAGAAACTTTTACAACTGTTGGATTATTTCTAGGGATTTTTTTTCTTTATACAGAACATACTATATTGTTCCTAGGCCTCTTAGATCATTCTAGTCCCTATTGCAATGCATGTTATATTGTCCACATCCCCRCAAGCTACATCCTCTGACCTTCCAGAAATCCAGAATAATCTTACTGAGTAAGAGAGAAGCTAAAACACTGCACAGTTATCACACCATGTGGAAACCTCCCCCATCCCATAAAAACTAGGCTCTAGAMCTGAGTATTCCTTTTTAGCTGCTATAAAAGACATACCCAAGCATTTAGATTACACAAGTTCATCCCTTCTCTCTCCCTTTGAACTTAATGAGCTTCCATGCTCTTGCAGTAAACAAGAATTATTATCTTYCCTATGACAACAAATGTTTCTGGAATGGCAGGACTTTCAGGAGACATAAAAGATGTCACATTTTAGGACTTAGGAGATCCTGGAAGATGGACAACAATGTGTGGTGATCAAAAGCAAACTGAGTTAATTGCTCTCACAGTAGCTCAGTGACCATTTACTGCACMAGACTGAAAGACCTCAATAAGGTCTCTCAGCCTGCATAAGGCTAAAAGAAGAACCGGTTCCAAAGATTTGCAAAAACATTTACATTGACATTCACATTAAAGGTAACCCAGACTTGAAAAAAGAGGATTCAGTCATTTGGATCCTGAGCTCAGGACTATGATACAGCATACTGCAGCACAAAGACAATGGGTTTGGAATGTTAAAAAAAAAATACAGTTTGGGAGTTTTGTTGACTTGCTGGGGTTTTATTTGTGGGGTTTTTTTTCGGGGGGGGGGGGGGGTTGGCGGCTGCGGCTCAAAGCTCCCCCGATTGCCGGCGCGGATCGCGCCCGGCGCGCTCCCGCTCCCGGCGCGCTCCCGCTCCCCGCGCGCTCCCGCTCCCGGCGCGCTCCCGCTCCCCGCGCGCTCCCGCTCCCCGCGCGCTCCCGCTCCCCGCGCGCTCCCGCTCCCCGCGCGCTCCCGCTCCCCGCGCGCTCCCGTCGCCCCGCCCCGGCCGCGCGCGCTCACGTGACCGCTCCCCAGAAGTGGGTGAAAGGTCGCGCCGCCGCAGCCCCGCCCCGCGCGCCCCCGGCCGCTCCAGGCCTTTCCACGCTGCCAAACAAAAGTTCCCGGAGAAAAGCGATGGAAAGGAGCCGAGCGCATCTCGCAGCGGGCGGGGGGAAAAGGGTGCGCCCCCGGCTCCATTTCYAGCTCGGCTCCCAGCGCTAAAAAAGCCTCAGATATTCAAGGKTACAGTTTCCCTGGACCAGGAATAATGATTGCTTCCTGAAAGAACCTCTTCAAGCAGGGCTGAAATACCCCATAATTGGAAAGAGCGCTCAGATCAATTTACCCTGCAAACGAAGTCAGGGCTGTGACAGAGCCCGATACCTGCGTAACCATGTGAAGTTACATTTCCGGGGCTCACGCAGATCCGCACAGCACCACCTGTGCTGCTCTAAACTGCCAGKCATTAATTTATAGCTATATGCTCACAACAGGAAAAGAACCTTCTAATCACCACAGAAGCCAATAAAACTTGCTTTAAGTAACATCCAGTCCTGATGGTCAGGAAAAAAATCATAAAGGAGTTAGCAGAACTGGAAATTGAACACGTCAGACACTCGGAAAACATAAAGAAAGAAGAACGAAGGCATCAGATCTTCATTTCCAGTGCTACTCCCCTACACTCACGTGAAAAGGAAACGAGTAGTTTTCTGTACTGTAATTTCCTCTAGACTGTCCAAGATTGTCCAAGTGCTGACAAACTGCCAGGTTAAGAGGAAGAATGAGACGTTTGTCTTGATCCTACTTTGCACTTTTCTCTTTCCAAAAACGGTGTTTCCTGTTACCGATTCATCAACACTAGTACAGATCTATTATAACTGAATTACAGCCCAAGTAATATTTTAGGCTGTTTTCATTTTAAACCAGAGAATACAGCAAAAGACCAAACTTGTGGGAATATGAGGTGAGAAAATTGAATTCCGTGATGCTGCAAGAATCTTGATCTACCTTTTACAAGAAGTCTAATTAGCATTCTTATGCAGTAAACCTGTCACGCCTTGAACAAGACATTGCATTTCCTGTGTTTGYAGTTCCAGCAGTTTGTAGTGACTGCGGTTTTTATAGGTTTTACAGGCTGGAATCACACGGACATACAGATTAGTCTCTCTCACACACATACATACACACACAATAAATTCGKTTCCGCACTTAAAAACCCACCACTGATGCCACTCGGCGTGAACACTTCCACAGCCGTGAAACTCCTCCCGGTTACGAGTCAGACCCACCAAGTCGCGGGTCACCGGTGTCACCTTTGTTTCGACGGCGGCACAGATTCAGCGAATCTCCCGGTGTACCTGTGTCACACCGCTCCCTGCCCCCAGCCCCTCCCTTTTCTGCAGCACTCAGGCACTACCCCTCAACCCGGGGCAAATCGYGAGCACGATGCCAAGGACACCGCGCCTTTCCCAGACTCCGCCAGCACCGCGCCCACCACCCTTCCCTGCGTTTCCACCCTTTTCTCCCGCAAGGACGAGCCCCGCTTAGGAAGCGACGCCCGGCGCTCGCACAGGCACCACGGAACTTCGTGCTCGACCTCATGGAAGCAGTAATTAGGCTAAAACCGGACCAAGCGAGCCGGTCCGCCTGAGCGCGATGCTGCCCTTCCTCAGCCCCGAGGCAGGCGGCCGGCGGCGCGTCCCGGCTGAAGGGGGAGGGGAGCGGCAGCCCGCGGTCAATCGGCCGGACACGGCGGGCACACGGCCGCCCTCAGCCCCTGCCCGAACCCCGGACCTCGCCGCTCACCTGCAGACACCGACGGGCGGCGAGCGGGCCGGGCGGGCGGGCCGTGTGCCGCGGCGGCCGCTCGGAAGCAGCGATGGGACGGCGGCCGCTCCCCTGCACGCCCCGCGGAGGCGGAGCACAGATGGGCGGGAGGGATGGGATGGGATGGGATGGGATGGCCTGGGCGGCCGGCGGGGAGCCGGGATGCAGGAAGGCACTATGGACCCGCGTGGAAGTCTGGCCACGAGGGGAGGGAGGGAGGGGTGTCCCGGTGTTGCAACAGGAACCGGGAAACGCGGTCCTTGTGGGCTCGCAACCGTCCGCGGGAGAGAAAGCTGAGGGGATTGAGAGGGGAGGATCCGAGGGTGTAAACGTGGCGGGGAGAAACGCCTCCCTTGGAGGAGGATTGCGCGTGGGGCGCTTGCTTGGGGGTGAAGGGACTGCCAAGGAAACCGGGGATTTCGACCTCCCCAGCCCCTTCTGTGAGCCCAAGGCRATGGCTCTGGCAAGGATGAGGATTAGATCTTAAAGCGAGTGTGAAGGAGCTTCCGAGGGAAGGCGCAGGTGATCAAGAGCTTTCAGTCCTGACGCCTTCTGTGCGAGACTTCCAGCTGGGACACAAGAGAGCCCACCCGGGAAGGATCAGCCAGCCCACTCTGCTCCAGCAAATACACGGATTTGAGGGAAATAAGTGCCCTCAATACATTTGAGAAAAAGTGACTACGTTCTTCAAAAAATGCAAACTAATGAAAGTAATTAAAATAAAAGCAGAGGTGCCAGTTTCAGGGCAGAAGGGACCCAGTTTGAAAATGACTACTTTTTGAATTTGTAATGGACTTGTCACTTTTGAGAGCTTGGATATCAGATGTTTTATTTGATTTTAGCATGATAACAGCTGGAATACTTCTTTGTCCCAAAAGGAAGTCATGGCCTGTCTGAATGCAGTGGTGTCMGTAAGGAGTCTCTCCTTCAAACTGCGAAGATTTGGGATTTCTACATTTTCCCCTTGTGGGCACACCCACCCAGCCCGGCAGTCCATTCTGTTGCAATTTCCAGGATGTGACTGAAAGCTTTGAAATACACAAATGTGACCAAATCCAGAAGCATGTACCTTATAGACTACATCTTTCCCTTATGCTTAAGATCATGCAGTGTCAATGAAAAGAAAACCCACTTTTGATCAGAATTTTCTAGTGTTGTATGCCTAACGATGCACTTTTAAGATGTTATTCTTTCAGAAGGAAAAATAGAGCCTAGAAAAATGCAAGGGGAGGAGAAGAAAAAGCAGGCATTTAGATCTAGTAATATTAGCAGGAGGAGAAAGAAAACAAAAGAATAAATAATCAGCTCCACCCACCAGCATCACTCATATCTACACACATTTAGCTATAGCAGATAGGAATGTAATGTGGATGGTTACAAGAAGGTAATTAGTAGATTGAGAAAAATCACCTATGTGTTTTTCATCATGTTCAAAGGCAACCCATAATGTCTTGTTAGGCGTTTATTTATTTATTATATCTTGCAGATGCCTTTTACTATCAAGAAATTTGTATAAAAAAAAAAACAACCAAAAACCAAAACAACCAAAACCAAATCTGCTTTCGTTCATTCCACCAGTACCTTTGTACATACCTTAATCTCCAGTCCACATTTTCATATACACATGAAATCAGGAGAATATCAGWCAGCTGAGAACACATGTTGATGTTAATTATTTTGTTTTCCAAATGATTGTGCAAGCTGTCGTGAATTAGGGAGCATGAAGACAGAGTGCTTACTTGAACATGATTAAGCCCCCTGCAGATAACCTTAGTAAAGAGATGAAAAGTATTGCATTATGTGAAGCTGTGATGATTGCARTTTAGCTAAACCTGACTTGGCTCTGTTTAGCTGGCAAGTGCAAAGCTCCCCGATAATCCTGTGAGTAATTCCCACTGGTCCTGACRCTGACATCTGGGTCAGGCTCTGGGCACCCATCAACCCACAGCAGCCAGTTGGCTATTCCGTAAGAACAAGCTAACCAGAACATTTTGTGCCTTTTATCATGGCAGCATTGCTGAAATGCTCTACCTCCTCTGCTACCTATGTTTCTTCAGCTAAGAAGGTGATAAGATAAAAGGTGATTCTGCCTCCTATGGCTGCAGCTGCAATAATCTGCATGCCTGCAGCWTGGCCTGTGCTTCTGTAGCAACCTTGCACTACTCAGCAAAGTTAACTCAATTTTTCCCCTATTACTGGCCTATTTTTAATTTCTAAAAAAAAAAAAAATGAGCATCAACAGACCACATGTGCCTGGTGATTTAAGACTTCTAGTAATAAATTTTGATCCYTGTCATCCAAAGAAATCAAAATAATCAATGACAGGCGACATTTATCTGTGTCTTRTCAGGCTGAAATAATGTCAGTTCACCCTCATGGTTATGTAGTTCTTGAACTAAATATACTTGGTTTTCTTACTCCAGCCCTTCAACACTTCCTGGTTTCTGCACATGCAGCACGATTTCTTTCTAGCAACTCTTCTTATTCAATGTACCTATTTTTCATTATTTTTACTCTTGTCTATTTTTAAGACATGGCAAAGTACTATACCCTAGGCCTGAGTCTGGTCTGGAAGCGTGGCTATCTCCAGTGCAATTCTGTGTTTCTCTGTTCTGGTTTACTTTTTTTTTTTTTTTTTTTTTTTTTTTTTTTTTTTTTTTTTTTTTTTTTTTTTTTTTTTTTTTTTTTTTTTTTTTTTTTTCAAAAGTACTTCAGTTATGTGAAGAGGTTTTAATATACATAAGCAATTCTCTTCACTGTCCTGAAACAGAACTATTTGCACATTGGAATTGATTTATTCAAGACCTTCAGAGCACATATTTATTGGGTGCAGTCTCAGCTGCCTGAGAAGACACTTTTCCAATTTGTTTGCTATTGAAAACACCATTGTGGTTTCATTCTAAACAGGACCAAGTCCACTTGTTTGTTTGGTTTTTTTTTTTGGTTTTTTTTTTTCTTTTTATGTTATCTCCCAAGGTACCTACAAATGAAAGGTTTGCACAGTGAGGATGCAAGCGCAAGTGATGTTCCACAGCCACTGACAGCCTGCGCGGCAGCACAAAGTGGTAACAAACGAAATGAGCAACAGCTCAAAAGTGTAATTTTGTAACTTTGCGTAGACAGATAAGTGTATGCATGTTCGTATGCCAAGGGCGAGGGCAAAGCAAGCGCACCAAGGGCACTTTCCCATGGCACGATGAGCAGGACCTGTGACAGCAAGCAGGGTTGGCCAGATCATTAGACAAGTCTTCAGTAACAGGGCAAGTTTSAGGTTGTCAAGGTGGAAAAGAGCCAGATGCAAGTCAGCTGCAGGAGGACACCGAGAATGAGACCCTGTGCTTCAAAGATACTCCTAAGCTAAGCAGGAGCCCCACTGGGACCCTGCAGAGCAGATTGTCCCAACAGCTCATTGGAGATCARACACCTGCACCCTTTGTCTGAGGAGGCTCAGGGGTGTGGCAGCCAAAAGCCTGGGAGAGGTGAAGGGAGAATATCCTCAGGGCACTGGAAATGTGCACACGCACCTGAGTGCAGTCTCACTGAATGGCCACACTTACCTTCCCTGCAGGAAGTGTTAATTTATTTGTTCTCCAAATAATTCTGTGAATTGGTAGAACTGTCAGCTCTCTGGAGGGCAGAGAGGCCCTTCAGAGACCTCGACAAGTTAGGGAGATGGTCCATCTCCAACTGTGTGAGGTTGAACAAGRGCAAGTGCCGGATTCTGCACTTGGAATGGAGCAGTCCTGGATGTAGGTGTGGATTAGGAAACGGGAGGCTGGGGGGCATCAGGCACAGCATCACCAGCTGGGCAAGGGAGGGGATTGTCCCGCTCTGCTCTGCTCTGGGGCGGCCTCACCTCGAGTGCTGGGAGCAGTTGTGGGCACCACAATATAAAAGGGACATAAAGCCAYAGGAGAGTGTCCAAAGGAGGGTGGTGAAGTGTGAAGTGGCTTGAAGGGAAACCACATGAGGCTGAGGTCACTTGTTCTGTTCAGCCTGGAGGAGACCTCACTGCAGTTAWAACTTCCTGAGTGAAAGAGGAGGGGCCCACACTGGTCTCTTCCCTGTGGTGACCAGTGACAGGACTCRAGAAAAAGCATGRAGCTTAATTGGGTGAAGTTTAGGTTAGACATCTGGAAAAAGTTCTTCCCCCARAGGGTGTTTGGGCACTGKAACAGTCTGCCCARGRAAATGGTSACRGCAYCAAGMCTGACAGTTCAGGAAGTGTCTGGACAATGTTGRCAGGCACATGGTGGACTTCTTGGGGTGGCCTGCACAGGGCCAGGAGTYGGACTCGATGATCCTGATGAGTCCCTTCCAACTCAGCATGTTCTCTGCCTCTATGAAGGTCCTTACAAAATGCAATGTCCAGAAGGGACAAGATGTTTTGTCAGGGTCGAAATGTTGCAAAACTGTGGAGTGCACATTACTGAGCAGTGAAAATCAAGTGGTTTCATACACCACAAACACTGCCCATGCATTGCCACATCTTCCTTTTCTTACATGTTCCAGACCAATCCTTTCTTCCAAGCCCTCRCTGGTATGAATCAGCTATCTCATCCACTGTTGCTGTACCGAGAAACACCAAGCTCTGCCAGCACAGTAATCCCTCAGACTTTGAGCTGGCTTCATMTTTTTCCTTTCTTAAATACTTTCTCATGAAGATAAAGCAACAATTCGACAGATATTTAAGAAGAACAGAGTATCTTGCCATGTCTTGCACTGTTTTTTTTTTCACCAGAACTAACCTCACTCGACTGAATCATCAACAGGGTTATCAGACTACCCTGTGACAGCCAGATCTAGCACAGAACATTTGGTGTGCATCTGTGATTGTAACAACAGAGAGATGTTTTGGGAAAATAAATATGCCCCTYTTCTCCTAAACAGTATCCTTTTTTAGAACACGTTTAGTTTATTCATTTTCTCAAGTAAGACAGACGTTTTGTTTTTAAGGAATGGCAAAATGGTCACTAAGAACATGTCACAGCTTCTGGAGTTTATAAATCCAAATAAAACAAGCATGCAGTGCTGTGTCAAACCAAACAGACTTGGCAGTCTGTCT